CCCTCTCATCCATCCATCCATCCATCCATCCATCCATCCATCCATCCATCCATTGATTCGTTTAATAAGATTTATAGAGGGTCCTCTAGGCCAAGCACTGCGGTGCTGGGATCTCAGAGATGAGCCGCACACGCAGTCCTGCTCTCTCGACCCTTGCTGGGATTGTTAATGAGAGGATACGCAAGTCACGGGCAGTTGGAAGGTGGTGCGAGAAGTGCTGTGATGGCAGAGATACTGAGTGCACAGAAGGCAATGGGCCATAACCCATCTTGGGGTGGGCATGGGAGGACTACTAGAGGGTGCAGCCAGATCCAGGAGCATTCCAGCAGAGGCCCAGTGGTGGTAGAGGGTTGGCCCCTTAGGAAGAATGACAGGCTATCAGACTGCCCAGAGTGATGGGTGTAAGAGGCAGCCCAGAGAAAGAGCAGGAACAGAGGGCATGGGTTCTGACAGGCCAGGGGAATGTGAAGAACAACTCAGCCAAGTGTTTTTGTGCTCTGAGAGCTGCAGTAAAAGCCAGCAGATCTGCACTTTGACACCTTTCAGCCTTGCACAGCAGAGGCAGGCAGCCATAGCTGTTGGAGGGAGGCCACATCTGTCTATCTGCAGTGGCCCATGGCTCCTGCAGGGCCCAGAGCTATGGGACAGGAGGATCTGCCTGGCTTGCCTTGCCTGGCAGAGCCAAGCCCAGGTCCACAGGGAGCCTCTGAGGCACCTAGTATGGAATTTCCCTCCAGGAGCCTGACCCAGTTCCTTACCGTTATTCATTCACTCTGGGTGAGCCTGTGGAATTCCAGAAAGGTTAGACAGGAGGAAGGAGTGCTACTGTTATAAGCATCTCGCCTGCCCCTACCTGAATCTCTCTCCAGGGTTTGGAGGAGGGGTCTGCTTACCTTTGGGATCCTGTCCACCAGCTCCCTTCCTTGGGCCCGAGGCTTCCCAAGTCCACAAGGCCCCCTCTCCTCTTGGCCCTCTAGCTGTGTCTCCCAGGCTGCCACAGAATGGCAAGGCTCAGGCACCTTTCCTGAAGGAAGGTCACCTGATGACCTGACAATGACAGTGGCCTGCCCCTACCCTGACACCACAGTGGCTGACTATGAAGAAAACAGGAAATGCAAAGGGCTGGATTTTTGTTTTCTTAAAATTACAACACCAGCTCTGTTTCATCAACTTAGAAAGTTATACAGTAGTCAGCTAACAGATTTGCATCTTATGACTGACAGTTACTGAGTCATTTATGCTTGGGCAGGCATTTGCCTTTAGTTGTTTTGTCCAGAAAGGACATTTAAGGACAGTTCCTGTCTACTCCTCTGCTCACCAAAGCCTCTATGTGTTCTCACCACGTTCTGCATTATGTCGTAGTTACTCCTGGTTGGGGCGTAGCTCCCCTCCTAGGTTATAAACTTTCCAAGGGCTGGGATTAGATCACATCGATTAGTGTCTTCTTGCGCCAGGCCAGAGGGTTCAGGGAGGAAGGGAAGCATCTTATCATGTTCCCTAGGGAGGGAAGGCAGTACAGTGTTGTATTAAAGGCCAAGGTTAGCGGCTCATCCAGACAGGCCGCTGCCCCTCAGCACTCGCAGTGATGATCCCAGCTGAGCGCCACTCTGTCCGAAGCAGTGGCTGTGGATAATGACGGTGATGCAACAGTCAACACTAAGTGTTTCACAGCATCGTCTCATTCATTCCCTCAGCAACTGTAGCAGGTCAGTAGTATGATTACCCCTGTTTCACAGTTGGAAAATTTGAGATTCCAGAGGCTGCCATTTGCCCAAATAACACAGCTACTAAAGGCAAGGCTGTGCCTCGACTCTGTGCCTACCCTCTGCAGCACAGCCTGAGTTCTCCCCGCCCGGCCCTTTGGGATGTCCGGTGACGCACCTGTCACAGTATTGGTCATGGCTGGTGCTCTGGCCAGCATTGCAGAGTAAGTGGAGTGGAGCGCTCTGACTTTGGATCCTTGAGAATCATGTGTGCACATGCATGTGGGCGCATGTGTGTGTGTTCACAATAGAGAGCAGCAATTAAACAAGTAGATGTGGGTGTTCACAGGGCTCAATGGTTTTGTCATAGTGCATGTGGGCCAGGGCCTGGAAGGAGAAATGCCGCCCACTGTGACCTGGGTCAGGGCAGGGGCATGGCTGGGGCATCCCAGGTGGTCTTCGGCTGCACAGGTCCTTTGGGCTCTGGGGGGTCCAACCTGAGATGGGGGCCTGAGTGGGCATCACCACCAGCCCTCCCTCGGCCCCTTGGTGGCCTCCAGAGGACGCGGTCAGTTCCCTGTGATAACACCATCCCTGCCAAAGGTGTTTTTCAGAGGCATCACAGTGAACGCTGTGCGGGGCTTCCCCATGAGTGCGGCCATGTTCCTGGGGTACGAGCTCTCGTTGCGGGCCCTCCGAGGGGACTATGCCGTGACCAGCCCCTGAGCGCCAGGTCAGTGTGCTCCTTCCCAGCCGGCTGCACCTCCCAGAGCTTGAAACTCTCTTCTTTGCCATGAAAATCTCTCTGTCATTCGTTCCCTATCTAACCTGCGTTAGTCCTGGGGCTGGGATCGCCACCCTTCTTCTCAGACAGCCCTTCTCAAACGCCTGCTGTGACTGGGGACGAGCGGGTGCTCAGGAGCTGAGGCCACAGAACTGACCTCTGTACAGTATGCCCATCTGTTTTTCCATTCAGCAGCATCGATGGCCCTTGGAGAGAAGTGTAGTTTCACTGTACAATTTAATGACCCAGCCTCAGAAGTGAGGACTCAAGCCAGGGTGCCCACCCCCTGTCACATGGGCACCATCTTCCCACTTCCCTACTGAACTCAGCGCCTGAGTCTAAGCACCACCAGCAGGCTCCCAAAGCTCTAGGGGACAGCCTCCGCCCCATTTCCTTTCTCCCGCACCCATTCCTTCTCCCTTTCTCACTGCAGAAAGATCACAGCGGCCCAAAGGATCTAAAAACAGAAATCTGAGCAAGAGACTCCCTTGCTCAAATGCCTTCAATGGCTCCCCATTGCCCCCTGGGTAAAGCATCTCGTCCTCACTCGCCACCATCCTAAGCATGCCATCCTCACTCTCATCTCTGGGTCTTTTCACATGCTGTCCCCACCCTGTTTTCACACCTTCCCCCTTGTCCTTGGCTTCATCAACTCCTCTTTGTCATCCAGGCCTCGGTCTAGAAGTCTCCTCCTCCAGAAAGCCTGCCCTGCCGCCTCAGCCAGGAGGAGCTGTGCCTGCTGTAGGCCCCTCCCACGGCCCCTGCTCAGCCTCTACCCCGGCCCCTGTCTTCGAACCACCTGACCATTTTCCTCACTCCCCAGCCGGCGTGAAAGCCCCAGGAGAGCTGTGACTATTATTTCACCCCTGTGTGGCCTGTGCCTCCTCACAGAGCTTGGCACAAAAACGGCCCCTCAGACGATCAACCTCCAGTATCTCCTCAGTTCTTCCTCTTCTTTTCCTCTCGTTTCTCCTCCTCTGGCCCCAGACTGGTCACTTGCAGAGTTCAGAAGACAAAGTGGAGTCACTGAATTTTTAGTCACCAAGAAACTGATTTGCTCCGGCTGTGGTGACTGCAGACTCTCAGGAAGGACGATCTTCATCAGGAAGGGCTGGCAAACCTCCCTGCTGCCTCCCGAGGCAGCCGAGCCCCCCGGGACGCCTGGATGGGCCAGACCTGGGAGGCAGGCAAAGGGCCGGACAGACCGGGCTGCTGGAGGAAGCCAGGGTCAGCCCTACACTGGCTTTAAGTCAAATGCTTTCAGCTCTTTTCTAAAGCACCCGCATTCACAGCTTTCCTGGCTTCTTGCCCTCTCACAAAGGGAAGAGCGTAGCCATGCATTTTGCATCATTGAACATCTTGGGTGACAAGCTACTGTATTGGGGTTATGTCCAGGGCAGGGAAGGGAGGTCAGATTCTAAAAGCTGTGCCCCCCTTTCAACAGATGAAAGTGGCTTTAAAAAAAAAAATCCTATAATAAAATCAATGCATTTTTATTGTAGAAAAATAGAAAAAAGAAATAAACTGAAAGGACAAAACACACCTCTAATCCCAAGACCTTCCTATTATTCGTCCAAGTATTTTTTACGTGTGCCCCCAATGTGGGCTCCTACTTCCCACGAGGTTATAGTCTGCTCTCCTGTTTAACAGTCCAGGGCCGTCCTTCCCTGGCCTTGAATCTTCAGCCGCAAGATGGTTGAATGCCAAGGCCTGGCAGATCCCAGAGAGGCTAGACACTTGCTGGAGCTGTCGCACTCTGCCACTTGTGACCACCCCGGCGATTGGCAACTTTAGGAGGAAGGAAGATCTTTTTACCAAGCCAAGCCCTGATTGTTTTGGATTTGGCCCTTCAGAACAGTGACCACCCCAACTGGAAGCTTTTCTTTCTGAAAGTGCCGTGAACATACGAGGGCACAGATGTCTGTCTGCCCTTCCTCTGCTGGGGTGGGGAGGAAGCTGGTGCTTCCCAGCTGGAATTGGGGGTGGGTCCCAGTGACTTTTCTGGAGCCTCATCTTAAGCCTCACCCACGGAGGTCAACTTCCCGCTCTAACCCAAGAACACCAAGGCCCTTTTACAGGTCCTGGATTTGAACTTACTGCATAGCTCTGAGATCTCGGGTAGGTCATGGTCCAGGCCAGGGTAGTATCGATGCCTTGACCACATGGAAACCAGGGCCTCCCTCCTAGTCTAGACTGAGGACAATGAGATGATATAATTCTAGGGAAGTGGTAGGATGGTCACTATCTCAAGAGCGCCCCTGCCTAGCTGGTGTCGCTCAGCAGTTGAGCATCGACCTGTGATCCAGGAGATCGTGGTTTGATTCCCAGTCAAGGCACATGCCCAGGTTGTGGGCTCGATCCCCGGTCGGGGGCGTGCAGGAGGCAGCCGATCAATGACTCTCTCATCATTGATATTTTCATCAATCTCTCGCTCTCTTCCTCTCTCTAAAGTCAATAAAGACTTTTTTTTTTTTAATTAAAAAAAAAAAAAAAAAAAAAGCAC